CTTCTTTCTACGTCCGCACAACTAAACCCAAACCCAAACCCAAACCCTTCTCCTTCTTACGCACATGGCCCTCCTCCACAACTACTAGACCAACCATTACCTATTATCATCAACCCACTCGGCGCACGTTAACACCCTGCGCCAACATCATGCTTCCCCCTTCCCTAAGCTTCACTCGCAAATCCGTCTCTTTCTCCCCTAACAACACCACCAGATGCACTTCTTCCGATGCCGCCAAGGATCCCGGGCCCGGGCCTGTACCATCGGGCTCAGAGCCTTCCAAAGTGCTCACATTGCCTACAATGCTAACTCTAGGTCGCGTGGCTTCCGTGCCTGTTCTCGTTGCTAGTAAGTTTGCCATTCGCATTTCTTTTCTCCGTTGATTTGCTTAATGACCTAATTCTTTGTTCGTATATAATTAACTAATTGTTAATTGTTAATTAGTTGATTAATTAATGTTATTATTGGTTCAGCGTTCTATATAGATGCTCCGTGGGGACCAGCTGCCACCACAAGCATTTTCATTGCCGCAGCTGTCACCGATTGGCTCGATGGCTATCTCGCTCGCAAGGTAAAACTCCACTTGCCAACTCTTTCGAGCTATATGTTTAGTTTTTTGGTTTAATTTTATAAAATTGTTATGCAGATGAAGCTCAAATCTTCATTTGGTGCATTTTTGGATCCGGTAGCTGACAAGGTACTCCAATTATGTTTATGTTTTTGGTTTAATTTGAGCTCGTTGATGCATGCAGATGCAATTTTATCTTAGTTCTGTTTTGTGAATTTGATTTTCTGTTGAAATGCAGCTTATGGTTGCTGCCGCATTGCTCTTGTTATGTAGCAAGCCTTTGGATGTTGCTGCGTTTAGTCAAGCGCCGTGGCTTCTCACGATACCTTCAATTGCCATCATTGGCAGAGAGGTAATCCGCCCTTGATGTTCTGCTTCTGCAACTTAAGTGATATGCAAGTGTTACTTGAAATGTTTTGCTATCATGAGAGCAATTGATTGCCGAAGTTATGCATCTTAACTGTTGTTTATTGTATGATGTTAGTTTGTAAGATGTGATTCGGTGTTTTGTTTGCGGTTATTTTGAATGCAACTGGAGTTTCTTATAACAATCATGGAATATGGCCATAGCTTTTGGACTATAGAATAGGTGAAAGTAAAGCTTATGGTACATTAGTTTTTCTGAATCTGTTGAATTGCAATGCTCTTTATTATAGTATGTGAGAAGTGATCAAGTTTGTCTCTGAAGGTGAGTGATCAGATTTTCAATCCTCTGCGGTTAGACTTACCTATAACTCTGGAGGATGGAAGCAATAATGGTGTCTGATCATGTCTGTCATTTGTTGGTGTGTAAAAACACGTAAATGATTTAGCTAGTTTATAACCTAAGTTGTCACTAATGAAAAACCTTGTTTGTTTCACCAAGATTCAGATTACTCATAATTTAACCTGTCAACCCTTTTCATTTCGAGGCATCATATTTTGCTTAATTTACCGACTCTGTCTTGAATAACGTGTCTTACCATATATTCTTGCAACTTGCAAACAGATAACCATGTCTGCAGTCAGGGAATGGGCTGCTTCCCAGGACAGTAAGCTTTTAGAGGTTTGTTTTAACCTCCTCTTTAGTTGGATGACCGTTTGATATTTGTTGATGATTTCAGCTTAGATAATGAAACTTTAAACTAATAGGCTGTTGCAGTAAATAATTTGGGGAAGTGGAAAACAGCCACACAGATGACTGCATTAACCATCCTACTTGCTACACGAGGCTGGAGGTATTGATTCCTTTTAATTTTGAGGATGCTCTACCCTAATTAGATTTATTATGAAAAGGTGGAAAGATGATGCTAAAACTCATCCATAAATGTTATATACATAATGCTTAATTTTCATTATTTTGAAAAATGCCTATAGGCTTTCATTTTGTGTCCCCTCAAAATTTCGGTTTCGGTTCAACCTCTCTCATTTACTGGCTTGATTTTCTGTGCCTTTTCAGTGACGCAGGAGCTAACCTTGTAGTTGGCTCTGGTATTGGTTTGCTCTATACTTCAGCAGGGCTTGCTGTATTGTCGTTGGTTGTATATATGAAGAAAATATGGAAGGTATTGATGAAATAGTATGCTTGTTCCTCGATGAATCCACATACAACCACTTCTCATGCAGATTCTGCTCTCTATAGAGTATTTCTTGCCTACTAATGTCTCGGAAGGGTGCTACATCTTTACTGGCATAGATGTAACTTGTTAACTCCACAAGGCACCATTTTTCCTATTCCTGATATTGTCTCATACCTTTAAACGGGGTTAAGAAAAGAGGGCTATTAGTATAAGTAGACGCTATCACAGCCATTTTGAATCTCCTAACTAAAACTATGCAGTCTCCGAAAGTTTGTGACGGGAAATTTCACCACAGGAATTTTTGTATGATCTTAGCTGACTTTATATTTATTTGGGTTTATTGCTCATTGATAGTTAAATAAAAGGTCTCGTTTCTATTTAGCGTGATTTTGCTTATATTCATTGCTAATTTGCCATTTTACTTGTGCTTGTAATGAACGTTTGACGAGAATGTCATGCACCGCACTTGTTATTTATTATCTTGTTTGAATAGATTCATCAGTATATGTTCTGGAAACTCGAAATTTTATATCAGAAACTCATAATTTTACATTGAAGATAATGAACAACCACCATGTAAGTTAACACCATCTTCACCTTATAGATTCAAAGGTGGGCCATATTTATTGAAAGAAAGTAAGAAACAACTATCTAGTAATGAACGCTTGTTCTCTGATCAATCTTGGTACTCAAGTCTTAAGTCATATTCTGCCACCAAAGATTGGATTTATAGATTGGCCTAGAGTTGAGTCTTTATGGTACCAGGAAGCGTTTCTTGTAACTTTCAACAAGCTCCTTTGGATTAGAGCGGGTTACTTTGTAGCCATCTATGTTGTTCATTGCCTGAAACCAACGTAAATTTAGATTTGCTGCGTCAAAGATAATGTGATAAGATTCAGTTTTCTAAGTAGTTCATTCAATGAATTGCATATGCTAAAGGAACAGTGAAATTAAGGTACAGTTAGATCTCAGAATGATGACAAACATAACAGAAATGTAGGGATGCTCTACCTCCAACCATGCAGCGAGATTAGGCCTGCCAAAGCCAATATCATAATTCTTAACATCCATGAGAAATAGCTGAAACCTTTCAATGAAAGGAGCATATGCTATATCCACCTGAAGTTTACAGAAGATATTTTGATTAGTTCAAGTCACATTGAAGATGTGAAGAGAGTACATCAAAATCAAAATCATGGTAACCATACTTACAAGACTGAATTGGCCAAGGAAGAAAGGTCCATCATCATATTTGGAGAGAACCGTTTCAATGTAATCAAATGCAGTGCCTAGAGTAATATAACATGTTAGCATTATTTATTTAGCAAATTATCATCATCAATAAACAAAGCAAGTATCATCTTACAAGCTTCTGTCAAATTATCTCCTTTGAATGAAGAAACAACAGTCTTGTAAAATGTGTCAGTGTAAGATAGCAACTCTTCAGCAAACTCCATAGCAGGACCCTGTTTATCAAGCAGTTAACTTTTCATTTATGCTTTCAGACCTGAAAACAAAAATCACGGTGGAGAAAGGTTGTATCTTACACTACTAGGGGAAAGAGAGGGCCCTTCAAAGTGACTGTCAATATATTTAACCAGATCAAGACTCTCTCCTCTGACTTCATTTTCGTGTTCCAAAGCTGGAACCTGGATTTCACTTGACATCAAAACATCAGTATCAGAATGTAATTTGCAATTTGCACAACACATACATATAAAGATGAGTATCATATGACCTTGTTGGGTGGGTAGACTTTGTCCTTATACCAGGAAGGCCTATCTTTTAAATCAATAGGAACCAATTGTATCTTGTCCTGCAATCCCTGCTTCCAAACAAATATGAAAAACCAGACAACAATGTTATCTACTAGTACTGTAACAGAAACACTAACCCTATTCCAAATGTTCTCCAATGATATCAAGAACAATATGAAAATGGAGATCTTATTAACTACCTTACAGTTTCGGGTGATCCATACACGTTGTGCATACGGACAGGTATAGGAGATATACAACCTTCAGCCACACATAAACAAATAAATAACTAAAAAAAAAGCCCCTTTATCATAGCAAGGAGCAGTGAAACAAACAGATAGAGTGCATAACGAGAATCCCATGAAAACAAAAACCCCAAGAAAAAAAAGTTTCAATTTTTATTTTATTTTCTGGTGCAGAAGATGAAAGAGAGCAAGTAACCAACCTTGTAGTTCCATCAAACAAGGAAGGTGGGGATGAAGTTGAAGTAACGGGTGGTGGAAGAACTTCTTGCACCCTTCAAAAAACAGTACTTAATTACCACACAGCCATAAAAATTGAAAGGAGAAAAAACACTGAAAAATAGGTACCCAGTTGCCATAGCACAAAAATTTCTTGTGGTGTTAAGTAGTGGGCGAAGGTGAAGCTTATTGGGTGAAAACCCAAAAGGGAAATGAGTGATTGTGCTTGAGAATTTGATTGCAATGCAAGTGAAGGGAGGGTCTGGAGTTGTAGTGGTGAATCCAGAAGAAAACACACGTGTGGGAGTGGGTGTGGGTATAGCCATTCATGCAATGCTCAATGCTCAACTGAACACAACTCAAGGGAGCTCAACAACATCAACACGTGCCACTATCCAAAATTCTAAGCCACCCGAAAACTACAATTCCTCAACATGAGAGATTAAAATATTGATGTATGAATTTATTTATAAATAAAACTACTAGTTTATAACCATTATTCTTCTTTTTTTTAGTTAACTTTTTTTTGTCAACGCTTTTTTTTTTTCCTTTTATGAAATAATTAAATTTCTTTAATCAAAGATACATGTATTAAATTTATTTTGGTTGAATTTATGTATCTATAAAATGCTAAAGAATGTTTTAACTTTCAAATCCGACCTTAGCTCAGTTGGTAGAGCGGAGGACTGTAGTGGTTTAAATCCAACAGGTGATCCTTAGGTCGCTGGTTCGAATCCGGCAGGTCGGAAATTTTTGCCTTTTTCCAAAGCTAACTTCATAGATTATGATTGTATATTTTGTATGCAGTTTTATCATTTATAAACTTGATTTTTTTTTTTATTCTTACATCAGATTTTCATAATATACATATCATATAATGCACAAGTCCACATTAACCCAAATTAGTTTCATACTTTAATCACATTAATCAGTTTCCCAACA